ACATACTTTTTTAGGATTTCCCCTAAATGTCTGCGGTTCTGGAGATGCAGGTCCTGATGACTGACCCTGAAGAACTCCAACTGGCCCAAGATGTTTCTGGGTAAAGATGAGAGCCAGCACAATGAGAGCTATTCACAAGCCTGCTCGTGGGGAGATACGTCTCCAGCTCTCAAATGGGAGATTCGTGCATGTGTTGTCTCACAGCTGCCCAGACGGCCCAAGTGCTGGGCCCCCAGTAGCTCCGCTGCATGGAGATGTGTGTGACGCCCCCCTCGCCTGCTCTCATGCAGAGGTGATGCCCGGACACCTCCCTGCCTCCTTCCGTCTCCAGTGCCAGCTTGGGGAGGAAGGGGGCCCATGGCCCCACCTGCTGGCTTTCAGAACCTGCCCCTCCTCCCCCAGACTCTATTGCTTTAATCTCAGGTTGCTATTCATTTTTTTTTTAAGTAGCAAACATATGTTTGAGGTAAACTAAACGTAGCAGAGACACTGAAAAATCTTCCTGATATCGACCTGAAAATTCTATAAGATGATGCTGCATTGCAACTTCAAATTAAAAAAAAAAAATGACTTACCAGGCACATCCATGGAAAATCAGATGGTGGCAGCGGGGCAGACACAAGCACGGGGGACAGTGCCTGCTCTGGCAGTGATGCCCCTGTCACACGCCCTCTGCCTCCCTCACCTGCTGACTTGCTCCTGGCTCTCTGTCTCTGTCACTAGGACCTCTGCCCTCAGTTCCTGGCCGCCCCATGATGACACAGCTGATGCCGACACCCCCTCCCACCCCATGCCTTCCAGCTTCACTGTTGCTCCAGGCTTCCGATTCTCCTCTCTGCCTCGCCTCACACGACTGACCCATGTCCCTTTGCATCCCCAACACCCGGCAACTCTCCTATCCACCGCTGGCCTTGCATCCAGCCCCAGTGAGAGACAGACGTGGCCAGAAGAGCTTCGTGCACACTGTACCCGCACGCTGCTCTCCAGTTGTTGCTGCATACAGTCGGACTCCCTGGCCCTCCCTCAGCTCCACTCCACAAAACCCTGGGTGCCCCCCCCGACAACCCCCTCTCTGTGTCATGCCCACCAGCAGTAGGCACCTGTTGGGGACCAGCCCCAACTATCCAGCTGCTGGGAGGCGAGACAAGCAGGGCCCTAAGGTGAAAAAGCGTAGGCTTTTCCCAAAAGGGGAGAGGGGAGCGGGTGCCAGGAAGACCCGGGAGTTGGAGTTGGGTGCAAGTCTTCCTGCTCATTCCCTCAGCAGGTCTTTATTTATACTGTATAGCAAGTAGTTAATTGCAATAATGCATAGGGTAGGTTAATGAGAGATTGCATAAATTGTCATAAACGTTCTCAAGGACAAGGGGAATAAAGCATTTTGTCCTTAACATTTTATGGTATACTAAATTATCATGTGTACAGATGTTTAGCTATAACTCAGGGGAAGAGGGGTCTGGGAAGGGATGAGCTTGTTAGCAAAAGGGGCTCTTGGGGAAGTAATAAATTGTGTTAGCAGTGTTATTAGGGATTGTATAAAGAAAAGCTAATGACTAATTTAAGGCTAGCAGAGAGTAGTTAGTGCTTGTTTTTAAAAGGAGTAAATTAAGAGAAAGTTGTACAGTTATGTATTAAGCAACACCCGTGAAAACAAGGTTAAAAATTGTCCATGAGTCCTTACGCCCTGGAAGTCTTATCTAAGATTTGCTTTTTATTATAAAGAAACCAAGGAAGCTTCCCAGGAGTTTTTATGCCCTGGGGTTCTTATTTCTCCTGGGGCTTGCCTTTTGTCTCAGGAGACAGAGGAATTTCCAGGCCTGGGGCAGCTTGCCTGGGCAGCAGCCTCCTTATGAGGCTAAGGCAATCCAGTTGTAAACTGATGCTGCTCAGAATATTTTGATATTATGATTATACAAAAAAAGGGAGGTCGTAACATAAGTTAGCAGTGGAAATTCTGATTTTTCAGAGCTTTTCCTTTTCTATCCAGAATTTGTCAGTCGATAGAAGTTGTATAGCTTGTGTCAGGCCCCCACACCTGCAGTCACCTCTTTCACAGACAAACCAAACAGCAACATCCTGGGATTTCTCTTTGGTCCTCCACAAACAAACCAACTCCTGAAAAAGCAACCTCCCCCCTATATCCAATTCCTCACCTTCTCTCCCAAGCCTACAGTGATCAGCTTCGTCTGCCCCCACCCTCCACGCAGCTTCTGTTGTCAAGGCAACCAATGGGCCTTGTGCTAAGTCCACCCACCACCAGTCCTCACCACATGTGACCTGGGGGCAGCACTTGCAGCAGTCACTTCCTCACTGCCTCTGTCCAGCCCAGCTCTCGGGGACACCCCTAACTTTCCTGCCATCTGACTATTGCTGCTGTTTCTCTTCTGGGTTTCCATATGTCCCCAGCCTCGCCATGACACAGTGACAGGACTTGGTGTTCTCTTTTCCATCCACACTCCCGCCTTGGTCATCACACTAAAGGGCTTCGGGAACACCAACCTGCTGGTCACGTCAAAATGTGTCATTTCTACCTGCCGGCCCCAAACCTGACTTGCTGGCATTCGAGCCAGGAGAACATCCTCTCGGCTCCACATTCCAAATAATGCAGCGTGTAGCCTCTTCCTTTTCTTTTTTGGGCTGAGGCAACACTGCATCACGACGTGTTTAGGTTTCAGGTGTGCATCATTTTTAAAAAATCCACACGTGACCTGCTGCGTCAAGTTCACCACTGAACCTCCCACCTACCATCACCTTACAACAATCTCTTTTCATCGGATTTGCCAACCCCCTTCCTCCCTTCCTGCAGGGCATTGCCTTGCAAGGCTCACGCTGCCTGCTGCCCTGGCTGCACCTTCTTACCTGGCTGTCTGCAGTGACCTCCCACCCTGACCTCCCCCCACTGAGCTCATGTGTCCCCTCAACACCTCCTGAGGGCCAGATCCTTGCAGTGGGCCACTCGGCCAGCCCTGGCTTGGCTTCTGCCACCTCGGACTTCATTGTGACATGTGGTATTGGCAAAGGAGACGACAGACGGAATCCAGAATCAGATCCCAGAAGACCTGGCCAAGAGGTATGGCAAGGTCACAAAGGCAGCTCTCTCAAGGAAGAGAGGCCTTTCCCACCAATGCTGGTGGGACAACTGTCCCTCTGGAAGCTGAAAACGGGCCTCCGGTGGAGAAATTCACTCCCCATACAACATTAACTCACAAAAGATCACTTTAGGTGGACACACAGAACTGGGGGTGACGGCCCCAGCCAGGAGACCCCAGGGTATTCAAGGCTCTTTAAGCACCTTCACAGCCACAGCACGGCCAATCCCCAAGTCCATAAATAAGACTGTTCATTCCAAACAATGAAAGAGAGAAGGTCCATCTCAGAACTAGCTGGCAGTGCACCAAAAAGCAGCAGCATCGCCAGCCTCGGTATCCCATGCTTCCTGCCGGCCACCCTCCTTGCAAGGAGAGGCCACGCCTGTCTGCCTAAGGACAGCGTCCTCCGCCTCTGCCCCACAACGCCCACCCGGGGCCGCCATCACCTCCTTCAGGTCCTGTACCACAGCCGCCAGCCGCTCGTTCTCCGCCTGCACGTTGGTGACCACGGCCCGGCTCTGCTTCAGCTCGTTCTGCATCTCCAGGATCTTGCCCAGGTAAAAGGCTTCCTTCGATGCCGACTCCTGAAGGAGCGTCTCCTCCCGTGTCTCTCCATCCTCAGCGACTTTGCGGTGGATGGAGAAGGACTGCCCAAAGGCCTGCAGAGCATTTGAAAAGGAAAACAAATGTGAGTCGCAGGAGGTTCCCACGCTGGCCTGCAGACCTGGGGGCGCTTGGCCCCGTGAATAAGAAAAGCTGGTCAGTGGCGCCTGCAGCAGCCAGAAAGGTTTGCATTTTAAGAGTCCAGCTGCTCTCGTGGTTACTTGGAATCATGACTTCTGTTAATAATGAGAAAGGGGGTCCTTCCTGGTGTGCAACAGGTTAAAGTGCAACATAATGAAGCTATTACAGCCACTGTAGCATGTTGTAGCATGAGTTCGATACCCAGCCAGGGAGGTAACCCACATGGCACAGCAGACTTCTCCTAACGCGCCTGCTGCTCCTTCAGCAGTGTATCTGTTTGTTCTGCTCCCCACTCTGTCTCTGGTGAATTCTCCCACCCTTGCACCTCTGGCCTGTACCCCAGTCTGGTTGCATAAATATATATATATATATATATATATATATATATTTTAAATAATGAGATGCTTAGTGAAATAAGCCAGAAAGAAAAAGAAAAATACTGGATGGTTTCACTTCACTCATAGCAGGAGCATAAAGGAACAGGGAGAAAAATAATAGTAATAATGAACAACTATATACCAGAGACATTTTATGGGGGTGGGGTGGGGAATGGGATCAAAAATGGGGGTTGGGGGTTTACCATGTTTATTGCTGCCTTATTTACAACTGGAAAGACATGGAAACAACCCAAATGCCCAAAAGTAGATGACTGGATTAAGAAGATGTGGTACATATATACATTGGAATATTACTCAGCAACCAAAAAAATAAACACATGCCTTTTGCAACAACATGGATGGAGCTGGAAAAGATCATGCTTAATGAAATAAGCCAAAAAGAAAAGGAAAAATACGGGATGGTTTCACTCATAGCAGGAATATAACGGACCAGGTGAGAAAATAATAATAGTAAAGAACAGCTAGCTATATACCAGAGACATTTTGTGGGGGTAGAGTGGGGGATGGGATCAAAAACAGTGGGGGGAGGGAAATGCACTGGACTATGGTGATGGCACATCGGTCATTTGGTGATGCGAAGCCCACGGGCATTACAACTGAGATGGGAAAAGGCACAAAATGATGGAAAACTAAGCTATTATATATATATTTTTAAAGTTACTGCCTCTAATATTGAACAGCTTTGAGAAGTTTATAAAATAAAAATAATTTTCACCGATAAAAACAATAATAATAAAAAGTAAGGAGAAAGGAATGCCTTTCTGTAAACCTCAGAAAGCACCTTGCTGAGCACCAAACACATGGATGAAGGGAAAGGCAGGGGGCACAGCTGTTGGCCTTTGTCACCTCTTAGGACAAGCCCCGTTTGGGAACAAATGGCGCAGGGTTAGTGAGCCCGTCAAGCCCATGCTTCCCTTTTCTTTCTAGACCTCAAAATTCCAACGGTACTTTTCAAGGATGCAAACGACAGTCGTGTTCGCTTTCTGGGTACCAGCAGGAAAGATACACCACAGAGGAGTGCAGTAGAGCCCTTAGGCAGGAGCATCATCCATCAGCCTTCAAGCTGCCCAGCCCCACGGAGGGGCGAGGCACACAGTCACTGGAGGAAGACCTTCATGGGCCTCCTCATTTGTGCAAAACAAATGCAAAGCTGGTAAACCAGAAACTGATGAGATGGGTCAGCCAAGTGGGTGCGTGGGAAGGGGTGGACAGAATGGGCCTGGGACATGGCAAGGGGGAGGGGACACATCTGACATGGGTCTGCCCAGGATCAGAGCTCCACACACGCAGAGACATGATCAGACTCTGTGTGTCAGGAGGACCCACACACACACAGCCACAAGCGGGCCTCCCTATGTTACAAAGGAGCCACCCAGCTGCGTGGACAGGGGTGGAGAAGAAAAGAACCAGAGCAGCTTTGGACTGCACTGGAAGGTCACAGACAAAAAGAAGCACGCCCACACCCTGCCCTCTGGTGAGGAAATTTGTTCCCACCTGAGTCCATAGCCTCACCTCTGAGACTTCTTTACAGGGGGGCTTGGGCTGAGCAGGTAAGGAACATGTCATGGATGCTGGAAGCCAGGCTTCTGGCTAGAGGAGAAATGAGTCGCCAATAAGGAAGGAAGGTCTGGGAGGGGGTGGGGGGAACTAGCAGAGCTGGGCTGTGGTTAGTGGTATCAGGATGAACTTAAGAGTGGTAACAGACAAACACAGGCGGGTATACAGACTGGGGAGTGGGGCTGGAGGAGGGAGTTGCTGAGAGTTCAGAACAAGGTGCCAATTCAGCACACACATTTTGCTTCCAAATATCAGCCTCCAATCAAAACAATTAAAGGTGCCCTCGCTGGTGGCTCAGCGGGTTAAAGCACAGCACTAAGAAGCTAAAGCCACTTCCACATGAGTTTGATCCCTGTCTGCCCCAGAGGTGAGCACATGGCGTGGCAGACCTCTCCTGACCCATCCGCTGCTCCCCTCAGCAGTGTACTTGTCAGTCGGCCTGTTCTGCTCCCCACTCTGTCTCTGGTGAATCCTCTCATGGGCCCTGCACCTCTGGCCTGTACCTGAGTTCTGTATGCACAAATAAATAAATAAATAAAAGGCCTTTTTTTTTTTTTAAAGAAATGACTATTACTAGAGCGAAAGTAAAATGAACTTGGTACCCCTGTGGTACTGAAGAGTAAGTAGCGCACTGCTTTAAAAATGTGATAATTAAGGGCTCTCCCTAATGGCTCAAAGTGTTGTAGCACTATGAAGCTATCCACAGTCACTGTAGCAGCCAGGGAGCTGATCCACATGGCGTGGCATATCTTTAATGCTCCCCTCAGCAGTGTATCTCAGTGGATCCACCTGTTCTACTCACCACTCTGTATCTGGTGAATCCTCTCACCCCTGTACCTCAGTTCTTGTATGTATAAATAAATGAATCTTATATATATATATATGATAATTATGTCAAAGAACATAAGAACCTATCCAGAAGGGCCCTGATGGCAAGACCCCAAGCTAACTTAGTCATGAGATCAATAATTGCAGTGATGAATTATAATCCATAGAATAGAAAGAATACTATGAGTACACATTGATACAATAACTGAATAAATGGGAGAAGAAACAGCTCTTAGAGAATTGCAACTACTAAATATAGAAGGAATGATAGAAACAAAATACATCAGTGCCTAGAAACTGCCAAGGAATAGTCCCTGCAGGCAAGAATTAATGCAATTTAAAAGTAATGGCTGAAGTCTGTTGACGCTGAGAAAAAGGGTCGTCTTAAAGCACCTCCTTCCACGGTATTTACTAGCTCAGTGGCAAACAAGGTAACCCGACACAGAGACACAGCAGGCCTTCCCTGTGTGGTCACAGCTGGCACAGCCTCCCGGACATCACACACGAGAAGGCACAGGCCCCTGTGTGCTTTGCCAAAAATGCACAAGGCAATTCTTACCATAAGAAGACATCAGACTACTCCCAGCTAGGGGTCATCCCACACAATGCTGCCAGGACCCTTCCCAAGAGTTAAGGTCATGAAAAGAAGAGTGTCCCAGCCTGGATGACACCAAGGACACAGGACAATGGAACGGAGGCAGGGCAGGGCCTCAGGCTGGACCCTGGACCAGAGGACAAGCAGCAAAAGGGAGAACTGGCTTCAGGTTGATTAATGTTGATATACTGCATCAACGGCAATTTCATCAGGGTGCTACAGTTACATAAATGTCAACATTTGGGACACTGCAGCAACTTGGGGTTTATGCGACATTTTTCTAAGTCTCAAGCTATTTTAAAATAAAAAGTAAAAAAAATAATAGTAATAAGTACCATCTCTGCCATGAGGAGGTACCAGATCTGGTAAATTACCGGCACACAGAGCACGCATTCTAGCGGGATGTGACAAAAGGCCTAGAGAGAGGAACGGGAGACCAGGGCCTCCCCAGTGTTGCCCTGTACCTGCTCGCCCACCTCGCCCCTGTGGGTCCGCCTACCCACCTCACCCTGGCAGGGCCCGCTCACCCACTTCACCCCTGCAGCTCTGGAAGGTGCCACCAGGGTGACCCAAGCTGCCTGTCATGCCGCTGAATCAACTGTGACGGCCATGGATGGATGGCAGTGTCTGTCTACCATGGACAGCGCCGGGAGCAGGGCTAGGTTTGGCCAGCCGAGGAGCAGGCAGGAGAAAAGAAGGCCACAGCCTTCCCGAAAGGAGCAGCCAGGGAAACCAGAGAGATCACACGCTGTGTTGCCTCTTTCAAGACTGTCAGAGGCAGCTCTTTCTTTGATTGATTTATTTATACAAACATGTTTATTGAGGCCACGTTTGGGTGGTATGCTGTATGTATTTTAGGGGTAGGCTCACAACTCTACAGATGTATGGGTAACACACCCACCTCCAAAGCCCCAACAACCCTCCACTGCACAGGGCCTCCTCTCTTAGCACCCCTCTCTCACCTTCCTCCTCTGGTAGCCTTGGTTCTGCAGTTTTCAAGGGGTTGTTTTGGGGTCTGGCTTTTCCCTTGCCTTGCTGGTTTATATTGCACATGCATGAAATCATCCAGTGTTTTGTATTTCTCCTTCTGGAAGCATCATGTACCACCATCCCCTTTGGTTCCATCCATGTTGTAAAAATGGCGAGAGTGCTATACCACACATCCTGATCCACTCCTCTGTCTCTGAGCACTGAGCTGGTTTCTACAGCTTGGCTATTGTGAATATGCTGCAATGAACACAGGAGTGTCAACATCCCTTCAAATTAGTCAAGAGGACCTCCCTGGTGGCTCAGGGGTTAAGTCTCAGCACTGTCACCACTGCAGCCTGAGTTCCATCCCCAGCCAGGGCGCTGATACACATAGGGTACAACAGAGCTGTCCTGTCTCACCCACGGCTCCCCTCAGCAATGCATTTCAGTCAGTCGGTCTGTTCTGCTCCCCACTCTGTCTCTGGAGACTCCTTTCACTCCTCATGCCTCTGACCTGCACCTCAGTTCTACACATAAATAAGTCAATCTTTTTTTAAACATCAGCCAA